AAACATGGTCTGTGGTCCACCCTGAACTGAAGAACCATCACCAATGAACATAGTCTACACAGCTATTCAGTATCCTTTAAAACCTAAAACTGTTGAGTGATAAATTAAATATAAACCCGATCACACATGCACAACTGATGTTAATATGTAGAGAATATGTACATGTATGTATGCATGCATAGCTCAGCCATATGTACAGAGCCTTCAGCCCACGCAGTTAGGTGAAATGCATGGCAAAGAAATCGCCCCATATTGCATCTCAAACCCCTCAGTCGTCCCCCCCCCCCCCCTCTCTCACATACACAGTCAGAAATCACAGCCTTACAGCCAGCACCCCCACACAAGTGAAAATGAATGCAGTCACCACCTGTGGTGGGAGCAGAACAAGAGAGTGGGAAAGGACGTGGGAGAGGAAGAAAAAGAAGGAAAAGACATGGCAACTGTTCAGGGCAATGAGTCAGTGAAAGAGGATTCACAGACACACTGACATTTATAGTATATATCATGAGTAATCTTATGGAAACCTGTGCTTGACAAACATGACAGAAAAAGCCAACAGTTGCATAATATGCTGGTGGTTATTAGCATGACGTTCGTTTGTGAGGCGTTTTATCTTCACATCCGGTTTCACAATCGTCGCTGATTTCACCAGCACGGATTCCCAAAGTAGTTTGTCTTTTTCTCAGGTGTGTGTGGGAGTGTGTGAACTGTGAGTGTGACTGAATGTGTCTCTGTTGGTTCTGTGATTCAAGTGAGGCAACCGAGTAGTCACTGGGTATGTCTGTGTGTCTGTGTGTGTGTGTGTGTGTGTGTGTGTGTGTGTGTGTGTGTGTGTGTGTGTGTGTGTGTGTGTGTGTGTGTGTGTGTGTGTGTGTGTGTGTGTGTGTGTGTTTTGCTGAGCCACACAGATCCTGAGCTGTGTGTGTGTGTGTGTGTGTGTGTGTGTGTGTGTGTCTCATCCCTCCCACCATTACTCCTGTCAGCAGGCCTGAAACCACAAACCATCCCGTCTGGAAACAAAGCCATTAACTCACAACAACCGTCTCTGTCTCCCTCACACCTCTTACTTCAGTTTAGATCTCCTCTTTCTGTCACACTTCACTTCTTTCATATCCGTGTGTGCACTGACAAATATATTGGAAGTCTGTTTGTCACAACCATAACATTTAATGGTTCCCATTACCAAAAATCACACCTACACTAACTACTAGATTTCTCTGTCAACAGTGGCATTTAGTCCCTGTTTGTTTTTGTCATAACCATTTTACAAGCACTGGCTGTTTATGAATTTATAGGCTGAACACCTACTAGTTCATGAAGGTGTTTAGACCGACATTCAGACAGATATTTACACTGGTAGCCATAGGTGACAAGTAACACAGTAATAATACCTCGTCTCTGTATTTTAGAAGTTCTTCTTTACTTTACTTGTATTTATTTTTCAACAACACTTTACTTTAACTCGCTACATTTTCAAATCAGGCTCGTTACTCCAGTTTGCATATCACACATAACAGACGTAATGTGACTGTAATGTGAAAATTAGATAAAAGACACAACAATACGAAACCAAGAAGAGAGAGACTTTAGTGGACAGAAACAGCCGCTACAAATGTCCTTCAGAGAAACCAAGAGAGTACTTTTTACTTTTATACTTTGCGTACATTTCAGAGCTTTTACTTGTTTCTGTTAATGTCCTAAACTCTCTACAGTAAAGGGAAAAATGTGTTAATCGACCCTTTATTTAGGTCTGACAAAGCAGTTACCTTTCTACTGTTCAGATGTAACCAATGCAAAAAGCTTTAAGTGTAAAAACCTTGTTCCACAATAAGGCATTATAACCTTTATGCATATTCATAAAAAGTTAATCCAGTCTTGAAAATTACATTTAAAGATCCCTTCAATATATTTTACTTCCAGTTTCTGTGTTACGCTGGCGTCGGGCGACATACTGAGGAGAAAATCGTTCAGTGCTGCTTTGATTACAGCAACAGCAATTGTGCTAGCTTAGCTTCCATCAATCACTCTGAGCTTGCAGGATGTCTGAGTCCCTCATTTTCTTACACCCCTTAAAATCAAGAAGGCCAACCCCCAAGTTGGGAACCACTGGCCTACAAAATGTTTGTTTTGACTCATGAACGGGTCTGAATTTGACAAAAGCTCAAGTGTTGATTCATCTTATCTGAACTTAACAAGCAAACACTAATATCTTTCATGCTGTGTGTTTTCCTTTTAATTAGAGATCAACATGGAATTCAGGAACACAACCAACAATATTTGGCCTCAGGTGCTGCATTGTGAACGTCACACAGAAACCTGCCAAAGTACAGAATGAGAGCTTGGTCACACTGAGGTGAGTCAAACCTTATCATTCAGACAATTTCCAACCAAAGTCTTCCTCAAATATTGGTTTACTTTATGAGTCCTGAACTTTTCTGAGATACAAGACAGATATGATGATGTTACAGGATATGTGAAACATTTTATTTAAAATGAAGTTCGCTGGGTTTTACAAAAACTCTTCTGTGTCAGTTTTAGTGATTCATGGGCATTAGATAACAATCAAGCATTGCTCAGGGCCATATCCAGGATTTCACAAATGCTGACGTCAAGAGTCCTTTTGTTGCAGCTCCTCCTCAGAATAATGTGACCAGGTTTCTAAAATGCTTTAAATACTGTAGATTTTTCATGTCTAGTTTATTCAGTAAGTGTTTCCAGTCTGTAAATATTATAGTGTGAACATGAAGCCCCAATTTATTTACTATGTTGTTAATACATTTAAATATATTGAGTATAAAAACTTGTCTGACAACAGTATTTTAAAAGTAAAAGCTCAATAATTTGTTGTGTTTCTGGGGTTACTGGCAGACTACTTCTTGGCCCGGGAGCAGTGACCTTCTGAAAGAGTCCCGTTGTTGAATGACGCTGCCAACAGAGACAGGCGAACTGTTTCCAGTCTCTTGGCTGTAGATCCATATTCAGTGTACAGACATGAGACTGGAATCAGTCTTCTAGTCTAATTCTCTGCAGGAAAGCAAATAAGCGTATTTCCCAAAATGTCTGAGTACTGTCCCTTTTAATTGTTCAATATGAAGTTTCCCTTAAAGCAGCTACAAGGAACTCTCTTTTTGTGTTGATTCTGGCCGCCCCTGTGGACAAAAGTGGTAGTGTTTTGTCTGATTTTAAGGGAATATGACCCGACGGCAGGCATTAAAGCGCTGAGAATAACTACCATAAAACTTCAACTAATAGCCCAGGCTTGTATTTGAGGCAGGCCTTTAATTCCCTTTGCTCAAAACTGTTGCTCAGCAAAAATGTAAAATACTATTGGATCGTTTATTTAAACTAGTATGAATATTACGTGTGTATATAACATATACACTATTGAATAACATCAATTACAAATCATTCGATACTTTTGTGCTCATTGTTTCTGTGAAATGAATCTAACCGATCTAACGATGTGTAGCATGTTCACATTGACTAAACATTTATATCTGTGTAGCCGATCTAAGCAACTTAGAACTCGCTCAAGGGCTTTTTCTATAAAGAATTTATATAAAACCAGACCAGGCATCTAACTGGGACCCTGACTTTAATTTAAAGTTTCACAATTTATAGAAATAGCCGATCTTCCTGCACATTTAAAAGGTCCAGTGTGTAACATTTAGGAGGATCTATAGGCAGAAATATAATATTCATAGGTGTTTTCATTCATGTAAACCAATCACCTGATTATAAGAAACATTGCATTTTTGTTACGTAAATAGGACCATTTTCACATTTCTCCCTCACGCTTGGAAGCAAGTGAGTTGCAATTACACAGTTAGATGCAACTAAATCCTTAAATATCCACTCAAAGAATACATACATGCTCCTTGGTGTACTAAATGGTAGCTTCAACCCTGATCTTACTATGGGCCCTATCTTGCCGATCTGAAGCGCAAGTATCAAACGCAAAACGCAAGTAGCTTTGTGGGCGGATCTCGGGCGCTGTTGCTATTATGCTGGCGGGATAAATTACTCTTGCGCCCAGCGCAAATCTAAAATGGGTTGGTCTGAAGTAGCTAAATTAGTCATAGGTGTGGTTTGGGTGTAACGTGCAATAAACCAATCAGAGCGTCATCTCACATTCCCTTTAAAAGCAGGCACGCTTGTTCCATGGCGTATTGCTATTATAACGGCGGATTGGCCAGGCACACGCCAGGAGCGGTTCACAGCCGAGGAGACCGACGTTCTCTTCAGGGCCGTAAAAGACCGAGAAGTGACATTATTGACATGAAATAAATGTATCACAGCCATACAATAAATCCAAACAATGTAACACAGCTTCGCAGGAAGAAGCCCCTGGCCTCGGGAGCAGTGCACACGGGCCGAGCAGTGCGCAAGGGCCAGCTGAGGAGGGAGCGGCGCAAACACCAAGGTGCAGAGGATCCAGACCCACTACACGCCGGAGGACCACCCGTTCCTGCAGCAAACCGGGTTTGACATGCTGGAGCGGGAGCTGTCCGGGATGCGGCAAAGTATTAATGCCCGTCTTGACCGGGTGGCAATGTTGCTGCTGCCTCTCAGGCGCATCTCCTCAAGTCTGCGCCCTTAAAATAGCATCTGAATAAGCGCCACTGACTTTAGACTAAGGTTTTTCCTGGTCTGTGGCGGAATTGTTTTCTGAAACAGCAAAATAGCACCAGGGAACGTTTGCGCCGGAACACGCCTCCTCTTTTCGCTGAACCGCCCCCCGGAGCTCCAAGTTCATTCCCTAATTTAGGGACGTGCGTCGGTGGAGGGAAAATTCCAATGTGCGTCGAGTGCAAAACAGGAATTATACAAGCGCCAGTGTACCAAGTCAATTGCGCTGAGTGCAAGATAGAGCCCTATAAGTCAAACATTGATGCTTCACACAACACACAGACCTTCAGAAACTGCTGAAGAACATCAGCAGAACTTGTAGGTCAAACCTGATGAAACGTTGTCAGTAGGTCAATCACAAGGAAATGGGCCATTCTACAAAAACTGTTTTATTGATTTATTAACAACTGTACATTTCTTTTCAGTGCTGACAGCATTTGCTACATACTTTGGTGTGATTCAGAGGGACCAGTGCCCCTTTAATTTTCTCGTGGGAAATGCTGACAGGATCAGGAGCACAGTATACAAACCAGAATTATTCACCGTAGTCTTAACGTCAACATGAGAGAGACTCGAGTTACTCCTTTATGTATTTCTGTTGCCTTCCTCGTGAGCATTTACAAGTCTCTCTGCTTCTCCCCATCACAGCCAACCAAACGTAGTCCAGGATTATTGATAAGATACAAAGGGCAGAAGGAATCCAACAACAGCGCTGATTGGACTGTTTGAATTTAGTCTGTAGCCAAGAAATCAATGGTGCAATTCAACATCCATATTACATCAAAAGTTAGCAAAAAAGCACATTGTCACTCAGTTTGTGCTTGCTGCAGTGCTTCTGCTGCCAACTGAGGTCCAAGGGTTAGGCTAAACATTAAACGTTTTCTGTCTCCTGTAATCTAACAAGGTAAAACAAACAGGGAGACAGATAGCACAGACAGATGTACACTTTAAAAAGGTCTTTTATATATATGAATTAAATTTACATCCATCTCTTTTCCTGAATCATAGCGTCCTGCTCGGTCCCAAAGTGGTCCAAACCAGCCGAGAGACTGCCTGAGTCAGTGGACTCCATGTTTTCATCGTCCGGTAAGAGCACTGTGACAAAAGGCCATTTTAAAATCTCCACAAAACGTCCTACTTACAAGTTTCATGCTCCTCTGTTTGATTTCTGAAAAGGGCAGCCTGGAGAATGTGCTTTAAGAAAATCAAAAGGTTAAAAAGTTCTAATCTAAGTTCTGCTCTCCCACTCAAATCATGGCATAAGACAAGAGTGGGCCGAAAAAAAAAAATCATCACAAGTACACCCAGGACATGAAAATATATATATTTTTATAATATATATAAAATGTCTTTTATTTAATCCGATATGTACACTTTTCACAAGACGTCTGGGGGAACAAGGTTCTCAGAAATGAAGCGCCGCTTCATCGGGTTACACCCAAGTATTCTCAAGAAAAAACGAAAGAAAAAAAACCTCAGAAGTCACAAAAACAATGTGTAACCCAAAAATAAACCTCCAAAACAAAAAGGGACAAAGAATGAACTTCTTTCCAGCACAAGCATCCTCAGGCTAACAGCTCCATCGAGTTTTCCAAATCTGTAGTTTGTCTCAGCCCGTTGTAGTCCACAGACGGATGGTCGGGGGAGGGGGGGAATAAAAGTCTTCTCGTGAAATGCCGAAGCAGAGCAGGACCCTCCTTTCTCTCTAGTAGATGACCTCATAGACGGTAGCCTTCTTGTCACCGGATCCTGTCACAATGTATTTGTCATCTGCCGAGATGTCACAGCTCAGGACAGAGGACGACTCCTTGGACTGCAGACGGAAGTAAAGAATAACAAAAGTCAACATTAAATCTTCCCTCCAATCTTCCAATATTTATCAAGTTCTTCTTATGAAATGTTAAAACTTAACCTCATATAAATAGAAACTGTCCTGTTTGCAGCTTTCTTTAATTGAGTACGATTACTGTTGAATTAGCTTAAATACTGTCGAATTACATCTTAGCACATGCAAGAACAAAGAGTTCAAGTTCCAAGAAAAACTTGTGCGTCAAAAATCTCAACCTCCACTGCTGGCTGAGGCTCTGATAGGTCAATTTCAGTTCATCATAAATATCCTGCACTTGTCTTGGTGGACATTGTTGCTTTCATTTATTTTATATTTGTGGAAAAAAAAAACCAACCTAAAGACAGTTTTCAGTCACACATAATTTTAACACTTTGTATTGGGGGTTAACTATTCTGTGAAATCACCTCCTCATCTTGATTTAAAGACCAAGAGACCACTGAGGTTATGAAACTGTAATGTTCCTTTATACCTTTTATTTTAAATGTGTGTTTGTGTGTAGTTACCTGGAATATGCTGGCACCGTAAGGAGTCCTCCATGCATTCAGCAGATTGTCCTTCCCTGTGCTCACAAACCATTTACCTGCAAACAGAACAGACGGGTGAGAATATAATCCGAAGACGCGCACACGCACATCTATCCTAGGCTGAGAATAGAGATTTAAAGTACAACTTCAACCACAACAACAGCATAGTATGTGACTGTGTAATAATGTTATCAATGGCCATAATAAACCATATTGAGGAAAATGCCATTACATTAACAATCATAAAATGCACATAATGAAGGAGACTCACACCATTTCCACTCTGATAATTATTTAAATTACCGTCTGATTAATTACCCAACTGACTAGTTGGCTAATGATTTAATTAGTGACAGCAAATGCTCTGAAGCAGTGAGCATCATTTGAATTAACCAGTTCTGTGGTGGCAGTGATATGAAACTGTGCTGTGGGGGGTCTTGTGAGGGGAAATGAATACTGACAGTTCTGGCAAAAAAAAAAAACAGCGAGGCAAAAGTAAAACCTCATTTATTTGAGCCTTAAACTTGAGACCAGCTGGTCTGCCCAACAGGCAGAATGATCTAGACTGAAAAAGCAATGACAAATTCCTCTAATGAGCCCATTTGTAAAATAAGAGCTTTCTTTTTAATACAGCTACAAGCCTTTGCTATGTACAATTAAAAACATTTCAACACAATTGAGTACTCAAATTCTCAATGAACAGCTCTCATTCAAGAGCAAAAATAAAAATCTACATAAACTGTAGATTAAACCTTATTGGTGCTGAGAAGTTGTCAATTTTAGGCAACGCAGCCCACCAGAAACCAACTGTAGTAGCTACATGTGAAGGATGTGGTTCCTAGCTGAGTGCCTGTCAAGACAATCTTGAAGTGATTTACTCTCGTCTTGCCAAGATCGTTTTTAGACAATGAACTGGAGAAATCCATGTTCACCACATTTAACAGCACAGCAGTAACTAAGATTTCATGCCTAAAATATTACAGACAACCAACTCCACATTGTATTTGTTTAATTAACTTTTCTCACGACATTGTGGTCTAAATGTTGTTTCAAAGCTTTCTCTACTCCACCAGGTTTGTAATTCTGGTGGCGAACGCTTAATCCCTTTTTATTTTTGTCCCATTTGAAGACATATAGTCTAAAAATATCAGAATTGGCCTTAAATAACCCCAAAATATACAGTATAATATGGGTGTAACTGTGAATGTAATGTCATTAAACACCATAAATTAAATTAACTTGACTTCACTTCACTTACATCCCCAGAAATATCTACCAGGGACGTCACCTCCCAAGGTAGCTACGGCTCACCACTCATCCAATAACCATCGAGTTTGGAAACAGTTCAAATTAATTTTGTTCTCCACGGAGATCTCATCTCACACTTATTTATCAACGTTGTCAAGTATTTTTCGGCCATGACCCTGTCCTCTAGCCAAAAAACCTAATTTTCACTAAAAATAAAAATTGGCCTGAAGATTCCCAATAGATCTGTTTGCGTGCACGCACGCACACACACACACACACACACACGAGCCTCTTTTCCTGTTACTTACCACAGTAGGCGAACTTGAGTGAGAGGACACAGCTTTCGTGCAGGTGCAGCTGGTACTTGTCAGGCTTGGTGTGGTGAAGTACCTCCACGTTGCTGCTCTCCATGCCCACAGCCAGCCATTCTCCAGTGGGACAGTAGCCCAGCGAGAAGATCTGCAACAAAGACAACAAACGTGTCAACAGTATCTCAACACTTAAAAATAAAGCCTGACTTACAACCAATGAAGACACTGGAGTAAATCTGAAATTCTTCTCTCTCTACCTGTGAGGTAAAGTCGTGTTGCTGGAGCTGTCGTCCCTCCCTCAAATCCCAGGAGCGGACGGTGTTGTCGAGCCCCCCGGTCCACAGTTTGGTTCCGTCGTGGGAGATGTCGATGCAGCTGGCTCCATCTGTGTGGCCCTGGAACTGCCTGCAACAACACAAGACACCAAAACATGAAGTCAGGAACAGAGGAGAAAGTTCCAACTTTAACAATCGCTATTTTATTCCTAAAACACAATGACTTGTTTATTAAAGAATGCCCTGAAGCTCACATACAAAGTGAGTGAAGTACTGACCTAACGAGGGTCTGGTTATGGAGGTCCCACACAGCGATGTTTCCATCTGAGCAGCAGGAGAAGCAGACCTTGGCATCGGGGCTTATGGCCAGTGCGTAGCAGGCTGGAGCAGAGGAAGTGAGCTCGGCCTTTATGCGGGGCGTCTGTGAGGCCAGGTCCCAGATGGTCAGCGTGCTGGCCTCGCCACCCACTATCAGGGTGCGGCCGTCAGGCAACAGCTTGCAGGAGCGGATATAATTGTCCCTGTTCTGGAATAGAAAACAAGTACTGTCACGATTTTGATGAGTGGATGTAACAGGACAATTTGAGGTTAAGAAGGAACTCAATTACAATTCTGCTGAGCAAAAAGAGATCAGCTGCATAAATCAGGGTATCAACGTCAAGACCATCTCTACTTAAACTCAAGAGGAGCTTTTTCTTTGACAAGTGAAGTTTTTAGAAGGCTGCCGACTCTGTTTCATGTTATAGTGAGGATGTGGATGTCAGCTTTAACAAGAGATGCAGGAAGAAGAGTGGGGCTGCAGCTGTTGGCCAGGCTCCAGGAGAGCAGGAAGACAGATCAATAGGACAGCGGAAGCTCTTGGACGAATTAAAACAGCACCCTGATGGCTTTATAAGACCCAATTGCACTCTGGACGCACCTTAAGGCCATATGAGTTGAACGGCATGAAGCTGCAGTATCAAAATGAGAAATGGGAGGCAGTTGGGAGGAAGTAATGAGCTGGGTAATGGCAGACAAGGTTGGCCAATCAGAACATCATTACTCAGCAGGCTTTTTTTTCCCCTCACCGAGGATTATTTCAGCACAGCAGTGAGACACTTTGCTGAATTATTCACATGTCTGTCTGTTGGGATCTGGGGGAAAGCTACGGTGGGATGTGGAGTCAGGCTACATTTGATGCTCAAGAAAATCTTAATGAAGGAGACCTCAACATGAACACATTATGTCTCTGTTCTGGTTGGATGCCTTGTTACCACTTTGAAACATCTACAGTAATAATAAGATCTGAAATTCTTCTGCCGTGACTTGTGCAAAAAAAACATAAAAACAGGAACCACTAGTTACCAGACAGTCGAGTTGGGACACTGGGCTCTTGCTGCCTGGTTGGCTGATGTCCCAGATCTTGACACAACCCTTGCCACCGGTGTAGACGTGACGTGTGGGGTTGCTGATGGTGACAGCGCACACCACTTCCCCGTGGCTCAGCGTGTTGATCTGGCGAGCGTGGCGTGGGATGCCCGGGCCTATCAGTGCATCTGGAGGGAAGGGCACGGGCTGCATCTGACCATCCGCACTAACGTGAAAAGAATAAGCTCTGCAGAGGACAGACGGAGGGAACGGTGGTCAGTTTGAGCAGAGATGTACATGATGTTAATAATAAATCTCTGAATCAAAAAACTCCAGATACTCACGGTTTTCCTCCAGAAATGGACGTGAGGTTGGGTGGCAGACCCGGAGCTCTCATGTGAGAATGCTCAAACGCCGCCTGTGTGAGCAGGAAGAGCAAAGAGTTAAAAAACCGCTGCAAAGATAAATTAGACTAAGCTAATATTCAAATTGAAAACTATGCTTCACTTTATCTGCTAACGCCCTGAGGAACTCTTGTACCATCGTTTCCAGGCAAATCCTTTGAAAGGCGCAGATTCAGCTTCATTGCATACAGAGAAGCTTTACACAAGGCTACAACACCCCACTTGCTAATGCTAATGAAAGCCTGGGAGATTTTCAAACACGGAGATGCATTTTGGGGGCAAGCCTTTTTTTTTTTAAAGCCTTTAGAATGCTAACTAACTAACATCAAAGTAAAGGAGCCAGCCCGTCTTTGTACTTTCTCATTATATACACACAACAAGCTGCAGCCAGCCAAGCAGAAATATTCACAATGAGTTATGGAAATACAGGATGAATGCTTAAGTTTCTCAAAGTCATTTTACTTGAAGACTTTACAACCTACAGCCGTGGAGGATAATTCATACAGACGCTGCTGAGGGCTTGTGTCAAACTGATGGAGGTGGAATATATGAATTAATGTTATATATATATATATATATATATATATATATATATATATATTAGTGAAGAAGAGGAGCTTCATTCGTTTGCATTCATAAATTCTATAAAGTTGGAATATTTACAATTGGTGAGCGTCCATAGGCGGCGGCAGCTGCAGCACTCATCTGTGGTGAGATGAGACCCGGATAGACGGCCGGGCTGGTCAGGGATCCGTTCATCTCATGATGACCCATCATAGCAAACGGGCTGGCATAGGAGCCCGCGATGGACAGAGGTGTACGGAGGGCAGGGGCAGCTAGAGGAGAGAGAGTATTTTAATTGATTTATAGAAACAATAAACTCTGGTTTAGTACAATGAGTGATGGGCTGCAATAAAAACTATTTTATTCAATTCCAGGACAACTTAATCTGCTGAGGAAGACCATGCGACATGATCAAAAGCTCCAGAACAGCTACTCATGGACCTTGTTTTGTCAACTATTGTGTCCAAGGAATTAACTCACAATCAAAATTATTTATTTTTATATATCAGTAAATCTACCACCCAAATTATTGTCATTAAATGGTTATTTTGTCCAGTACTCCAAAACCTAAGAGGTGCATGTTAGCTCCTCTGACAATTACAGTCACCAATAAAAGCTGCAGGTTTACAGATTGTTTATTTTTGTATAATAAATGAATAGATTAAGTCCTTAAAAGGAGTGTGACAGTGAGTGTTTACATACCTAATGCCTCCATGCCAGGTGGTTTGCCCATTGTAAGAGGCCGCAGTCCTGGAGTGGTGCTGGTTCCTGGTGTCGGGGCCTCGTTTCTCGGTGTAGGTGTGTTGGACTTTAGGCTCGGTGTGGACGACTTGTCATTCTAAAACAGAGATACTTTTTTTAACCTCCGGGTGCAACCTTATTTTGTATCCTCTTACAAGAAGTTGTAAGTTCACTTACTCTCAGACACACACACACACACGGAAATTAAACAGCATCCAGAGTAAAAAAATCCCCCAGTGAGTTGAAAATACCCCCACTGGCAGGGAAATCCAGAGTGACAATCTAAGTGGACGGCTCAAGGTAATCCAATCTAACACTGACACCTCATTACAGCCGTGTGTGTGTGTGTGTGTGTGTGTGTGTGTGTGTGTGTGTGTGTGTGTGTGTGTAAGGGGGGTAGAGGCATAAACCTTTTGCTTAGAAGTCAAGCTTGTTAAGACTGGCTAGACGAGCAAGACGGTGAACCAAACACTCTCATAATTAATCCATCTTTCTTCCTTTGCAGATCGAGTTAGAGCAGTAGGGGGTTTAGCCTGGTGACACACACTAATGAAGGACGGAGTGAAGCTGGGTGTCATGTGAGGTGGAGGCTAGTGATGTGGGCTATAAATCTATCCTAATCCATGTTCAATCCACTGGTTTATGTAAAACTGATGCATGACGATTGTTTTAGCCTGGTTAGTGAGAGCTTCAGTGTGGGAGGAATATGGGGGGGGGGAATAAGACGAGGCAAGGAAAAAAAAAGAGGGAGACAGCAGTTCCCTCGCTGCCGTGTCTCCGGGTTATTTACAGCCTCGGGCCTGAGGAATGGCCATTTATTGGGTAAGCTATAAAGGAGATTGAGAGGAGTGAGCCACAGGGTTTGATTTCCTGAGAGTGCATCCACCCTCTGCCCCTTCAAGCCCCTCGTAGCAGCCAACTGCTAAGCCTCCCGCGTATTAGTCCTTCACACAGACACCCACTTCACTTGACAAATGCCCTTTAGTCTGTCCGCTCACCCTTCACCCCCTTGTAACCTCCTTATTTCATCTTCCCTCTCTCTCTAGTCTTTTCGTGTGTCCCTCACACTCACATGGGCGTGGTCCTTTGCTTTGGAGGACGGCGTGCTGCCCGAGGAGGCGACAGAGGCGGGGCTGTTGGGGGCAGCATCCTTCTTCAGGACTCGTGATTTATCCAGGCCGTTTTCTGGAGGAGAGTGAGCCGGGCTGACTCGAGGGGTGGCTGGATCCTACATAGTTAAACGAGACAGACAGAGAGCGAGACTGAGCAAACAGACCGGAGGAAAGCCACTGGCATGTACATGTAGGTCAAACAAACTGGGGCCTCATGTGCAAACACAGATAAATACACTTGTGCGTGCTCGTACTCTCCCTCACTCACATACACACACTTTTCATTCACCTGTCACTCCCTTTTCTCTTTGTTTTCTTTGTCTTACTTTCTGCATGAATGGCAAAAGAAATACAGCAAGTAAGCTCACACTCACGGCACGCACACACACACAACCAATATTATGACAGACTGTTTGGCAACGCCGTGAAAGGTGTTGAGGCTTCGACAGACAAAAGAGAGCTGTGTTTAGTTTCTGTGCAGCGTTCGCTTTGTGGAATGTCGCCGAGCAGCTCAGTTCAAACGCAGTCTTACCTCATTGGAAACATCCACCACCAAGTCGTCACTTTTGTCTCCGTCACTGTCCTGAAAGGAAGGAGTGACAGGTTTAGCTTACTGGGAGGCGGAACAGTGGACAATATTTGACTACTAGATCAAAGACCACACCAGATTTATGGTCTGGATCAGTGGTCGTCAACCTGGCGGTCCAAAAGAGTGTCAAATTTCATTATTATTCATTATTCTATTATTTCATTAGCAATGGATGTATAAGAATGAATACAGTGTCCCCCGTTAATCTGCTGATCTACAGAATAGACGGTTATGGAATAGACTACATCTAATCAAATACTGGTCCGCAGCCTAGATCAAAATGAAAGACAACCAGATTTATGGTTTATTTAACCTTTATTTTTACATTAAATTTGACTCTGCCATATAATTTGATTATTATTTGCTTAAAATGTTGATTATTCATAGAAAATTAAACCTAATTTTACAATTTCTTGAAAGTTATGAGATAGTTATTTGAATCAGTTGTTGATATCCAGAAGAGTTTTAATAAAAGAACAAGTCCATTTGAACCCATATACATTATTATTATTATTATTATTATTATTATTATTATTATTATTATTATTGGGAATCTTCATATATGTTGAATTGTAGATGTTTGTATGTTCAGCTGACATGTTGTGCACCGACTAGAAGACAGTCCCATAAAGCCTTCCAGAAATTCCAGTATGGTAACCTTTTAAAAGAGTAGCCCAAAATAGTGCCTGTGATACCACAAGGACCCCACCAACAGCTGAAGAAGAAGAGCAACAAACTCATTGTGTAAAAACCAATAAAACACTCACATATCTGCTCATGCTGTCTTTGTCGTCCACTTTGCGTTTCTTGGAGTCGAGACCGTAATCTGAAGAGCTGCGGTGCTTCTCACTCGATGCCCGCAGGCTGTCTGATGGGGACACTGAGTTATTCTGCCAACGACAACAACAACACGCGGCCAGACCACATCAGTCACCAGTTCCCTCTGAATGTGCTATACACCTTTGACATCCTCAAAACACTGTCAACAACCACATCATATATAGTGATACGCTTCAACTCCTACGAACATTACTGTGCGTTTCATCTTGTAGAATAAAGTGAGGTCCACAATAAATAAATAAATAAACAAATAAAAATATATTTATGACATGACCTTCAGTCATGTGAATGATTTGGGGCTTAAAAGCAGCAAGTGACAAACCTGCAGCAACCAGAAAAGCCGTAAACAACCACAGGGTGCGTTTAAGTCCAGGCATGGCTCTGGAGCCTTTTCATTTGTCAGAGCAGTGACAATATTGACTGTAAAGCTAAACGCACAATGCTCCTGGAGTGATTTGGGACAGAAGGTGCAGAAGAGGATTCTGGGACAGCTTAACCCTGCTGCTGCTGCTGCCAAGGCAATGGAGCAAGGAAGAAACAGACAAGGCGGCTGAGCAAACCCACAAACACACAAAACGCCTCTGGAAGACAAAAGCATTAACTCGCAAGCTAGGTGATGTGCAAGGCAGATTGAGCAGAGGTGGAGAGAAAATGTGAGGTGGGAGCAGAGTGCAGCATGGGATGCTTGGTGTACATTATACACACACATACACACACAACCAGACATCTAATCCTCTTGTAGACCCTCACAGTGACCTGGTCAGAGACACGCTTGAACCAACATCAACAATGCAAGCCAAACACAGCTTGCATTCCTGACTGTACTTTTTCTCTGTGTGACATACAAATATAAAGAAAAGTGACCAGGATCTCTCACTGTGTAGCTATAAACTCATTTTAATTACTGGAGAGTGTGTGTGTGTGTGTGTGTGTGGTAGCAGGTCAGTGACAAAACAGCAGAAAATGACAGCAGAGTTCATGAAAATCAACCAAATAAAAAAAAGGAAGGAAAGAAAGAAGGAGGCCATTGAGGGAACCTGGACAAGAGTGCAATGTGAAGACACAAAGAGGGTGTTGCCAGCAGAGAAAAGAGCCATGAAAGAGGCAGAGTGAGAAAATGAGGGGAAAAAAAGAGGAAGAAAGACAAGAGAGCAAAACAGGAAAGGAACTTGGCAAGCATTGAGAGCGTAGCAGTGTGGCAATGAGTTCTCCCCACTAGTGGGAATGCCCGGACAGGCTGGCACTCTCTCAGAAGCTGCAAACGGGGTTTTTGTAGTCTGGGCACTGGTGTGGTGGGGTAGCACTGCCAAACAGGCCGACAGGCAAGGAGTGAGGGAGAGGGAGGAAGGGTGAGACGAGCACACCCTGAGGCCGGCCCACACTGTCAGGAAGCTCAACAAATCCCTGCCTTCATCAGAAACAGGAAGATATGGTGAAAGAGGGAGAGGGAAGATGTCTGACTTCTTGGCTGCAGATGACGGGAAGAGAAAGAAGAGCAGCAGAGGAAGGTGACATAAAAAAAAAAAAAAAAAAAAAAAAAAACACACACACACACACAGCGGTCGAGTTAATGGCGCACACACGCAGACACACACACACACATCACCTCAAGCCAACCCAGCAGCGTTCTGCCATTTCCACATCCCTCCTTCTCAGGTTAAAATACATGAATTTGTTCAGCTACTGTTGTGGAAAAGAAAACCACAAAGAATTTTCGTCTGGCTCGGTGTGAAGATGCTGCCTGACCGACAAAAATCTCCAACAGCAGCATTACAGCCTGTCTGTGTACCTGAGCCTGTGACCTTTAAAGGATTGCTTAGACTCAGTAACCCTGCACTTGCCTCCAACTCTGGTATCAGATGACCTGAGACAACAGGACAGGAAGACGCTACGTGTGTGTGGGTGTGCACATTGGAAGGAAGAGGGAGAGCAGGGCGGTGGGGAGATCAGGTAAGGTAGTACTGGCAGCCGCTCGTCACCATACGAGATGGGGGAAGAGTTTGGGTTCCCTTCAGACATGAGTGGGCTCATTCAAGATGGCCAGTCAATAGGAACTCAATCTGGCCGAGCAGATCCAACAGAGCGTTACGCTCCAGCTAACTGAGAGCTTTAAGCCAGTCCAATAAACAAGGACTTTAACATGAGAAGGAAGAGAGAGAGAAAGAGAGATAGAGACAGAGGGGGAGAGAAGAAGTGGTGGAAAGGAGTAAATGAGTAAGATAAGAAGAAAAGAGAGAAAATAAAAAGCCATACACAAATGAAAAGGGGAAAGGTAGATAAAAGGAGATGAAAAGGAGTCAGATATTGGACACATGCAACAGTGAATCCTTTAAAGTGGCGAGGGAAGAAGAGAAGGAGAGTCAAAGTCGCTTTTAATTGTGCTGAAATTAAAGGAGGTAGCCGACCTCTAATCCTCGCCCAGTGATTGGAGTCATTTTCCACCTGGATTAGATGGCACTGGCTTATTTGGCCAGACTTCATTATTTGATTTCAGTCACTCCCCAGAGTACAAAAATGTATGTGTTCTTACACAGAGAGCATGAATTTCTATTGAATAGTGGGCTTAAGTCTATGTAAAGTACACCTAATCACCAAACACAGTGAGCCAGAGACCGACAAAGTCAAGAGACACAGAGGAGATGGAGAGTCAACGTACCGTGCTCGACTCGCGTTCTTTCAGAGGAATGGCCAGAGGTGAGTGAAAAGATGAGGGTCCAGGAGAGACAAAAGCAAAACACAAATTAGTATGCGTGTCACCACGACTCCGAACGCCAATCAGATAACAGTAATGACATTATTATTCAGCTAAAAGATTGTGCTCATGTATGCAACTCTTCATTAATAAATTCTGGGACCACTTTCTAATGAGATGTCTTTTAAAGAGTTGTAACTAATAGCTTTATTAATGCTAAATTATTTACTGATGCTTTTGAAATCAGATATGAGTCATTATTGATGACAACTTAAGCAGGACACTTGCTTTGTCTTTTATCTTTAGTTCATCGGGTAGAAACTCCAATGGGCTGTTTTATTTATTATTTAACATTTATAAATGTATATATGGTGACCTGCTAGAAAAAGCCTTTATTAATGTCTTCACATCTATTATTACAGATGACTTATGAACTTCTCCTTTTGGATTATTAGAAAGCAAGAAACTTGTGATCCTTAATGACTTTATTCCTGTTATTTATTAATTATTAACATATATAACTGCTGACTTGATGGCATATTAGTGAGTAACTCAAACTTTTATTAATGACTTTTAACAGTCTGGGTTATTAGAAAGTGGTACCCTCATTTCTAATAACAAAAAGCTACAGAAGGTTGTACTTTATTTTATATTAGACCGACATTACCACCTGTATTTATGATAAATAACTCATTCTTTATCCTCTACACTAGCCATAGAGTTCAAATGTCTTTCTTGTTTCCTAATGGGAGTTTAACCTACATGTTTAATTCTGTACATAAACACTAAAACATACAGTGACACAGTTGTTTCTATGTTAAATATAAAACTAGTTAAGTACTAGAGCGCTGTGGGCAGTATGTGGCAGGCTGTGCTCCTCACCTCTGTGCTCCAGGTCGTGGTGGTTCTTCTCGTCCTTTACGGGCAGGTGGGCCTGGCTGCCAAGAGCGCCCAGAGCCAGCAGGCCGGAGCCAGCGCCCGTTACAGGGGGGATGCCGGGCGGCTGCAGGCCTGAAGGGTGTGGGGGCAGCTGGACTGGGGGGCCGTGGGCAGCGTGAGAGAGGTGTTGAGCCTGAAGCTGCTGCTGCTATAAACAAACGCAAAGAGACGGGAGACAAGAAAGAGGACAAGTGGGTCGGCTGGGAAGTGAATCCATGAATGAACGCACTCTACTCATGCATTAGAGCTGGCCCTGACAACATTTAGTTCAAGGCCAAACCGTTTATGCATAATAGCAGCCTGACAGTGGCTGCCAACATGCTGATCCAGCTCATTCACTGTCTGAGGGGGAAAAACTGATTGTGTTCATCGCTGTAGACGTACAGTGTGAATATCATCTGGTTGAAAGCGTTAAGACAGTAGAACACATTCATTTCTGTGTGTTATTACTTCATCTCAAGGTCTTTAGCATTGGCTGTTCATTATTATGCTAAAATAGACAAAATTTACCAACTTAAAACACGCTGATTTTCCCATTTATAACTCGCTAGTAAAATAATATATTTTGAGTGAGTGACTTATTTTCATCTGTCAAGTATTTTTTGATTAACTATATAAAATGTTTAGTTTAAAATGCTCAACATTAGAGAAAAATTACCATTAGTGCTCTCCAGAACTCAAACTGAGGCCTTGAATTGCTGGTTTTTGTTTGACCAACAGATTAAACTGTAAATATATTCGATTTACACTGATATAAAACAGCAAATCCCCACATTTGAAAAGCTGGAACCAGAGAATATTTGAAAATGATTTAAACAAATGAATCAAAATTGCTGTTGATTAATTTTCTGTTGACTGACTAATACAAAAGTTGACTGAATCAGCTCTGTGCAAAGGTTTGCACATGAATGAGCTGCAGTGTTTATACTACAGACCTGGTACTCTGTTCATATCATGCTCTTAGAAATTGCTTATTGTTTCTCAGACCTTTATGCAACACCTATGTTTCACTCCAACAACAAGTCTCCTCTGGTCGTCAGAAATGGAGCAGAGCGTTTATGCTCACACCAGAACCACTGTGCTTCAATCATAGCTGGGACAGTTAAAAATCAATAGGTCTGCACTTGAAAACCTCAAAACCTTTCAACACTCTGGAAACCCAAGCAAGCATGCCCACTCCTCTAGCAAAATGCTGTTAAGCACAGACACAGTGGAGAACACACACACCTCCCAAGAGGCCATGGACGTCTGTGCGAGAGAGGAGTGAGTAGATAGACAGGAGTTAAATAGCCACTCAGGCAAGAGGGATGCAAGTGCTTTAAAACAAGGTTAAATAACACTTAGCACGTCCATCAACTGCCTCTTCAAAAAAAAGAAAAAAGAAAAAACATGATTGCTATTCTGCTTGCTAGATAGAACTTCAATAACCTCATCCATACATTCATTACAGAACCAGAAGAGGCTATATCTAGTGGCTTACCACACTTAAAGGTTTATTTAGCCAGCTGGCCATTATTCAGTCAGCTCATTATGTTGAGCTGGACCCGAAATCGTACAATGAATATAAGCGACTGAGGGGCGGCATTGTTAATCGATATTGTACTGGTGTGCCGAGCAGCCTATTTGTTGTGAAGAAGGAAAAAGCGAGCAAAAAGAGAGAAGAAGGGGGCAGCCAGAACAAGAAAAGGAGGGAGAGGCAGAATCAGAAAATAACAAGAGAATGAAAGAGAGAGGGATTGAGGCAGGGACGTCCCTATTCAGTGTGCCTAATGAGGAAAAGCGTGCAGGGATCATTATCAAGAAGCCTCATTAACGAGCTATGGCTGAGGAGAGGAGCGGCGAGAGACGGGGGGGAGAGAGAGGGAGAGAGAAAGAGAGAGAGAAAGAGGGGAAAAATTCAGAAAATAAATTGCTTCCAATTCAATATTCATGGATAAAGAGCTGGCTTCCTTTCACACTTATCTTTTTTCATTATGTGTAAATGCCGCCGCAGCTCAAGCAACTTCCACAGGAAACAGGCAATTAAAGTTAACTAGGCGAAGCTGGCTCCCTGCAGAACAGTACTGTCAGGTGGAACAAGCATCAACAGCACCAGCACAAACCAGCTGGCAGACTGGCTTAATAAGTCTGGCAATGATCGCCACATTACCTACTTATCCTGTGCTTTACAACGGCTTCTGTGGCTCGTCATATTTCCTGTAGTTGTCGCGACAAAGATTAGACTACTACTAAAAACACAGCGGCAAAAATAGACCCGATTGATTTTTAGTATTGGAACAGGATTGAGACACGGGGGGAAACGGTTTTAAGGTTAGATATAAAGAGCTAAATACCATAAACACATCTGATTCATGCTTTGTCCCCCAAACGGCATCAAATCCCCCTCACAAAGACTTGCTAGCAATCAAAAAACAGACTGTTTCTCTATGTTTGGACTTCCTGAACACTGACCATAAAAGCAGGGTAGACACTATGAGGCGGCGGCTGCTGCTGTTGGGTCAAAAGAGGGGGGGAGAGGAGAGATTCAGCCAGAAATGATACAAGCAAGAACATGACAATGAAAACTAGGGATGCAACTAACAATTATTCACATTATTGGTATATCCCGCAGATTATAAAATTGTATAATTGGGATGCATTTTTCAGTTTTTATAGACCACAGTCTAAAGTGACGTCTTCAAGCTGCTTGTTTTGTCCCAAAACCCCAAAATATTTAGTTTGCAATCAAAGAAAAACATCAAATATTCACATTTAAGAGGCTGTAACCTGCACAGTTGAACTCTCTGCTGAACAACTATTGGATTAATCAACTAATCATTTCAACTCTAATGAAAATGAATTAACACTAACACTGAGCTTGATCTCTTAACTAGTGAATCTAATAATAAAGCTGTCTATAAACCATCCTCCTAAAACAAAGACAAAACCTGAGACTGCTTGTAGAAAATCTTACACACTCAAACTAGGGCTGCACAATATGGTAAAAAAACATCATATTGCAATTACTTTGACAGATATTGCGATATGATTCACGGTTAGTGTGGGAATTGTGAATTTTCACTTAAATAACTATTAAAATCACGATGAGGTGAACTTCTTTGGGTGGATTTGCATCATCATCAGAGAAATTCAATGTTTTTGTCACAAGTTCTGACCTTTTATACAATATTTGCTTATTGCACTTGGACATATTGTGATTAATTGTGCAGCCCTAACCAGGATAAAGTAGATATTCACATCCAAATAAAACAAATAAACATGCACTTTTCCCTCAAAGATCAGCATCAGCAGATGACAAAACTAGGCAGTGTTAAAAGTGTCCATGTTTGTTCCACAGACGATCATTTACATAAGGGTTGATGATAAGCAGCGCACCACCTGTAACTGACTCGTTAACCATTATCGGAGTACAATCTTGTCCTGTGTTGAAATCATGCAAACGACGGCAGCAGCATGGAAATGAGACAGCACCTCTGACACTTGTCAAATCAAACTCAATCATATGTCGCCTCTGGCCAAAACTTATGCAAAACATAATGTGAGACAGAGGAGACGAGTTTGCATCTTTGACTTCGCTTCCCACAGTTTGAGCCCACTGAAACATTACTCGTGTTTCAAGTTTAATATCGTGGAAACAATGTTGGGATTTAGAAAGCGCTGAATGAGTTTAACTCGTTTGTACAGGGTTTATCAACATGCTCTCCCCTCTGACCCTATTTACAGGTTTTCATTTGTCCTGGTGCCAGTTTCACTTTTTGTAACATCTTAGGGCTGCAAAAATGTTTTCTTTCCCCCATTTATTAGTTTTTAATTCATCAATTACTTTTTAAAATCATAAAGTCATGAAGAATGCCAAGCATAATTTCCAACAGTCCAATGTGACATGTTCATATTGTTTGATTTATTCAATAATCAGCTAAAAGATATTTAATTGACGATTATATTAAATAGAGAAAAGTAGCAAATTCTTCCCTTCTGATTCATTTTCTGAATATTATAACTATATTTGGTTTTAGAAGTCCACTATTTGTATATCCAGTGACCCCCCCCTACCCCTACCCCAATAAATCTGTTTCTTTTGCCTTAGTCGCCTCCAGGCTGGATAGGGTGAGGCAGTTGGGTGTTTGGGGGGACAGTAATATAATATATATGTATGTTGTACCACATACCAACACCCACTACCATGGTGTGTGTGTGTGTGTGTGTGTGTGTGTGTGTGTGTGTGTGTGTGTGTGTGTGTGTGTGTGTGTGTGTGTGTCTACACTCAAATCTATTTTCTGATCTAACTGCTGTAGGAAGCTGCCACAGCAGCACCGCCTCACTCACACTGTGGGGACATGGAGATTGATCACCTGCCATGTCTTCGCCCCAATAATTAAAGGCTGTTTTCCTCTGTGTGTGTGTGTGTGTGTGTGTGTGTGTGTGTGTGTGTGTGTGTGTGTGTGTGTGTGTGTGTGTGTGTGTGTGTGTGTGTGTGTGTGCCGGCCCTGCCCTCCCTTAATGAAGGCAGGGTCACTCCTGTTGTGGACAGTCTCACTGAACTGGTTGGGGGAAATAGGAAGTAATTACCTTGAAAACTGGGGGTTGTGCTCCTGGCTCATTTACCTTAATCGAATTTCGATATCTGCCTCTCATTAGACTTGACCCCCTACCACTGGGACTAGCTAACCGCTGACTAACCTCTGCTACAGAGGGCTAATCAAAAGGGTCAGCTATCCATCTGGGTCCAAGCTGGCTATTAAAAAAGCAGCTCGGCTTATAGTAGTTAAATAAAACCAGATGAAAGACCAAATCACTAAAAAGTATATTTGGCCAGAGTGGATTCTGTGTGTTTGGGGTTGTGGGTACAATTAAAAGGTCAATTACTGATATTTTTCCACTATTAAAGTTTAGATTGCTGCAGATGCTCTCAATTGTAGAATAGTTGAAGAAATCAGAGGTACTCAAGAGGGCAGTGATTTAAAGAGGGTAGTGATTTGCTTTTTAAACCACTGAGTGCTTCAGATTTATTCAACAGTTCTAAACTAGTAGCATTCACAAACTGAAGAGCACCAGAGGGACACCTTTAACACTGCAGCACTCCAAGCAGATCGTCTTGTGAATAATAATGGAGTATAATTAGGGTAAGAAAAAAACAACACCACAAAGTTGTCCTACACCCTGAATACCTGCCGAGTAATACTGGAGTAATGACTAAATGATTAATTGATTGACTGAGAAAATAACTGACAGTGGGGGAAAAAATCATTATTTGCAGCCCCAGCGACAACAAAAGTATCTAATTTATAGAGTGACTACAAGGCTAGCAGTGCTCCAGAATAAAAACAGTTTTTCCTGTCCTTTCTAGTCTGCCAACATTACTTGAATGCAGCCTGAATCTTTTATCCACTACATCTTACAAGTGTTTGGTACCTGCTACGTCTGTACTGCAGTAATCTCTGCTGCAATCACAAAGCTTGTCCCAACCTGACCGCTCTAATTCCTCCTGCTATTGGGTCAGAGGTAGAGGTAAGCCTGTTGGCTGGAACCTTTTATCTAATTAAAGTGCAGCCAAAGTGAAATCTGAGAAACCCCATGATCTGATCTCAGCCTGGACTCTGCTACTACATATCAGATGTTCCCTTAACTCTGCCTGAGAGGGAAAGAATCAGAGCAGAGCTGCTGTTAGGGACTGCACCCTTTGTGCTGACAGGTCATGGTTAACCAACAATCAGAGCAATTACTGCAGTGAACACCATATTGACAGCACATTGCAAACATTGCGAACTCAAATAAAAACATAATAAACCACTGGAGACAGGGGCAAGTCTGCACAAGTGAAGGAACGTGGCACTGGTGGTTTGTATTCAGTCTGAAACATTCAAATGCCACAGACAGGAGGAAAGAAAATGGTTGCAGATTAATACACTAAGCTACTTTTATTCCCTTTTCACCCCTATTTTCCTCCTGAATCTATTGCCCTTTCCCAAGTTGTGCTTGACACGCAACACTTGCTGAAGCGTATAAAGGTGAAATAAACCTGTAAGCGTAATGTAGCACGTTTAAATAGCGTATATGCCTGTATTGGCGTGCCGGTCCTCCTCTATGCGTGCAGTTTTGCCCCTGGCCTCAGGGCAAATGAAGGAAGAAAAAAGGGGGGTATACACACAGTCAGAGGCAGATTGGGAAGTCCACGTACCCCGATGATAGCATTCAGCTCAGTCATCGTCACCTGCTTGGCTCGCTCAACAGCCTGAGCCACCTGCTGTTGATGCTGCAGGACACAAACACAAAGATTAGATTCCTGATGGAAAAGAATTCATTACAAAAACACTGAAAACAGCACATATCCTGCCCTGTACCGATGGTTTACCAACACACGTCTACAAATAGGCACTTAAAATATGCTCCATAACGCACTAAAGTCATCTAATCCTACTCAAAGTCATTCCTATAAAAACTCTGCTTCTCAGCATAACTATGCATAATAAGGTACGTAAAATACCTACATGGCATTGCGAGTTTGTATTTAGTCTAAACTTTCAAACTACTTTTATTCCCCTTTCTCTCCTACACACCTTAGAACTAGGTATGTTAATCATTAACCAATGATCAATCAATTTCTGTCCTCCTAAGTGTCAATACAGTACAGTAAAGATAACCATGAGACAACTAAAATCTTGTGTCAGGACAGCAAGTGATTAAAATAACTCAAAATACATTAAATAGACATATTCAGTGGAGTTGTGTTGCTAAAACTGTCACTTTTTCATAATTCAGGTAATTACTTCAACTCTGTTTCCCTCTCATTCAGTGAATTAATGCCTGGTACTATAAAAAGCCGCTCTGACATTCCCATACATCCCATTAACTCTCTGCACAATCACAGTTTCCTGTACAGTTGTTGAACACTGTGATTGTAACTATACTTAAAGAGCTGCTAGCTCACCTCTTGTGACAAGAACGGCATGATCTGAGCCAGGATTGCATTGAGACGTTTGGCGATCTCAGTCTGTAGGAGAACAAGAGAAAATATTAGATTGAGTCATTCAGCATACTGTACGCCACAGGCAACACTATAATTAAGCAGTTAAACTACCTATAAAACAAAAGGGTATGCATTTGTGCACACATACAAATGTTTGCAGCGTCGAAATGGAACAGGCCCTCTATTTCTTAACTAAATTGGGACCGCCTTAGAACAAATTTACTTCCCCCTCTCTCCTGCCTCCATTAGACTCAGGCCTTATTTCATTAGGAGGCTGAAATATGCTAATACCATCTGGCTGGAGAGACCATAATGAGGTCCATACTTCATAATTACGGCCCATAGAGAGGGGGGTGGGGCACACTGAGGCAGACAGGTTAACTCTCTGGCCCTATCTATCAGAGGCATCTTTGGTATCGACCTCGCAATATTAGCTGGGACAGTAAGATGATACTGCGGGGCTCGACGAACATAGAGCACTTTACAGTTCTACATTTGGACAAATGGATATGCTGCAGTGCCCGCCTACCGCACTCGAATGTCCCAAGACATTTTGCCCAAACCCATTTCCTTTTTTTTTTTTTTTTTAAATCTGTACTTTAGAGAGGAGGAGGAGGAGGAAGAGAGGAACACAAAAGTAAAAAAGCAGAATAAAGAAGAAAGGGTGGGGTGGGGTGGGTGTGTAGGGGGGGTGATGAATGGTGGAGTGAATTGCTCTGATTTGACACTAAGGTAATGTAGTTTGACTGAACTGGGGGAGGTGAACTAATTGATTCTGAGAGATTAGGGGTGGAGGCCCAGCAGGTGTGTGTGGGGGGGGAGGTCCTTCCCGCCGTTTTATACGCTGCTGCATTCCACTCATTTTCTCCTTTAACCTTGTTGGACTGTGAATGGGGGGATGAGGAGAGGGCAAGTGGAAAGAGAGGGAAGAGAGGAGGGGGGGACAGGAGGTGCGAGTAGCCTTTTGCACAACCCTCTGTGTCAGTCTTTTCATTTCGGAGGAGGGGAGAAAGGAAAAAAGGAGGAAAGAAGAGGAGGGGGGCAGACCTTTGCTGGCCTGTCAGGAATTATCTCACAACCCCCCGTCTGACCTCAGACGCACTGAGCTCTCTCTCTCTCTCTCCTCTCTCTCTCTCTCTCTCTCCCTCCTCCTATTCCAAACGCTTCTTCACACCCCTCCCTGCTAATCTCCACTACTCTCCTCTATGCCCTCCCTCCTTCCTCCTCTTCCTCTCTCATATTCCCCCTCTTCTGTTGCTGGGGCAACGCTATCTGGCACGGCTGATCGTTATGTAAATTGGACTGGGGCCCTGACCAGAGCAGCCTGTAAAATCATATTAGGCGCAGCAAAGAGGCAGGTCATTAAATTGAATTTTCGGCCTGTCGATCTGATCGGCACGGGAAATTAATGAGGGATAACTGGGAGTGGGGAGGTGGGGAGGGGGCTGCACTGGGAGGGGGGGAGGGAGGGTGGTGGAGCTGACATAGAGAGGGAGAGAAAGAGAGAGAGGGAGGGAGCTCTATGGAGACTCATAAACCATCATCATTAGCGGGGGCTGGATACAATGACACACAGTAGGATTAGAGTGTTTCAGTATCACACCACTTCTCTGGAAATGGCTGCAAGGGGAGCAACATGGGGCTTGTAGGACACAGCGGTATGCTGATACACTCTGCTATTAGAGCAACAACATTACAAACCCTCACCACAAACCGATTCACAAAGAAAAGGCATCCATTTGTTCACAGCAAATCACCACTCCAGAACCACAATTTGAAGCCAAAAAACATTCATGGGATTCAGGTGCACTTCTGTGTTGAGTTGTTTAGTGCGCTGTGCTAAAAAACACACAGGTTTCTCTCAGCGGCTCATTTCTGAAAAGGCGAGCTGAAGCACCAGGTGCTTTGAGAGCTGAGATCATGCAGAGTTGCGTTCAGGGTTTTTTTAAGGTTAAATGTTCCCAAACCCTCGGCTTCCTCTGAAATTTACCCCCAGAGTTAAAATATTACTTTGGAGCCAGGAAATAAAACAATGGAACAGACTTCCTTTGCATCCATTTCTGTTTTTCTTTTGTGGACTTATTATTTGCGATGCCGTACATTTTGCCGCAATATTTCAGCTACAATTGAACAGCAACAAAACAAGGGCAAACATGACTCACACATCAGCCTGAGAAACATAATGTTAAACCCCTCAACTGAGCTACTGCCTTTATCGGCTACATCTTGGCCTTCTGTTTCAAATTTAGTCACCAGACTCTGTTCAGACATGAGTTCACACAGGTTATTGAGGGTAAATGGGCACACAGCTTATTTACACAACTTTTTCACTGCCATTTTGAAGGGGTGGGGAAAAAAATACTGATAACGCATCACATCCAATGACTCGCAGCACTCTTAAATGACTCCCACTTTACTTTGGAGGCACTATTTTCCACAGTGCTTTTAGTGGCAGAGACAGGCACTGGAAAGAGTTTATTGTCACTTAAAGCCACTGAAAACAGAAGCCTTTGAGCCGGCAGAAGCTTTTCACTGCAGCTCCACAATTACAGGTACTCAGGGTTGTCTAGTAGCACCAGAGCTTGGAGAGGCTCTCTCTCCATTGCATCCCTCTGTCAATGGTGCGTTGAAAGCCATTTGGCTGTTTGTCGCTCCAGGCATTAGCCCCCAAGTGGAGAGCAGAGTCTCTGACGAGGATTCAATTGGCGAGGAAAACAAGTGGCATATGATGGGGGGGGCAGGGAGAGATGGGAATTATCTTCTCAGCCAGAGCAGAGGAAGAAAGAGGCACTTAGAGGTATCTTGTTCATTACAAATGCATGAAGAATATTTTGCATGTGCATGTCATTCTATTTTGAGCCCATAAACACAAAACTTAAGTGACATCCTTTTTCTGCAGGGGAGCACGTGGAAACGGGCGGTTTTCCAACAGATTACATCTGATTCCGTTAGAGCTTCAAGATCATCGTGCAGATGAGAATATATATATATATTTATATATTGAATTATGCAGTTTATATGTACAGACATGCACGTACACACAAAGTATTTTCTTCCGTTTAACCACATCAACGCTGACATACAAAAACCACCATCAGCTGGTTGAGCACAAACACACACACACACACAAACACACCCACCCACCCAGACACTAATTGTGTAACACTGTTCTACCAGCCCTTCTAGCCTGGCTATCAAAATAAAGCATGTCTCACAGCCTCCAATAACCTCGGCAACCTCCCTCGAGAGGGAGTGTGTGTGTTCTCGTAGTCAGTTTGTTTTGGCTTAGAGACAGGTCGGCCATCATCACCTTGGCAAACAATTCCAGGAATCCTGTATAAATTATTCATTTGCACAAGCTCTCCTTCTCCCTCCCTCTGCTCTTCCTTTCACCCTCTTCCTCCATCCAGGAAACGGACATGAGTCTCCTTGATAAAGCACTTTCTCCGTTTCCCTCATTCACTCAACAAGTGAGGAAATGGATACCCAAAATGGCCACCTAAGCTGCAAACAAAAGCGAGCAGCCACATATAAATGGTATGGGATCCATTGATGGTTAATTCTTGGGACTCGCGTATGTTCCTTCTGCTTTCAATTTACAAAAGAGAGAACTGAAATCAAAACGTAGGCAAGCGTACAAGAGATAAACAGGCACCACAACAGAGAACAGAGGTAGTAAAAAAACAAAGCAACCCCCACCACACCCACACCACAAAGTCAGCAGGGCATGTTGCTGAGGCAGCCTAATGAGCTGCGCTAATTAAAATCACTTATTGACAGCAAGCGAGGGTGATTACCTCCACCCTGCACTCTTTGCCATCATAAGAGACACTGTCAAAACAAATTACCCCCCGGCAGCCGCACACATCCCTTCGCTAGCAACCGTTCAGCACAGCAGCAGCGCCGGGGAAGTTGGAAGTTGAATTACAGTGTGTTTGTGTGTGTTAGGAGACAACGGGTGTTACCATGTTAGGGATGGGTTTATTTATATGTGTGTGTGTGTGTGTGTGTGTGTGTGTGTGTGTGTTTGAGCCCATTTCCCCACTTTTCAATCCAGCTTTTGAGCGATAACAACACAAAGTGAGTTTATCATGTCTTTTTTCACACCGCAATAAATCTTCCACACAAGCCAAGTAATATGCCTGCATCCAATAATCCAGCCTCCCTCCCTCCCTCCTCCTCCTCCCTCGTCCCCCAATATCCCTTCCTCCCAATAACAGGGACAGCTAAGGGCTGTCTGTTTACCTCTCGCTGATGTCATCACAAACACTCGTTCACCAGGGATGGGAGAGAAAGGAGCGAGAGGAAGGGAGGTGGCAGGAATCATGCATTATTCAGAGTGCTCCGTCGACTCCACCGGGCTTATTGATAAACAAAGGAGAAGCACAGGAGAGGACCAGTCGATTAACCCATTTACCCTGAAGCCACGCAATCCTTTCCTGTCTCCACACCGCCCCCTCCCCCCCCTGTTTTGTCCACTGCCACCAAAATCCTCCCACAACACAACACAACACCCCCCCCCCGCACCCTCCATCGCTCCAATCTCCTTGTTGGTGATAAGTGCCTGACACAAGACGCTCAAGAATGAGAGGGGGGAGGGGCGGCTCCTTGATAAACAGAAAACACCTAGTTAGCACACACACACACACACACACACACATATATATATATACACACACACACACACACACACACACACACACACATATATATACACACACACCACGTGCCTACAAAAAAACGTCTGATGAATTGTGCTGTGTGCTGCTGTTCCAACTGGGCAACCCTCCCACTGATGCCATTAACCTTCTGGATCTGAGGGCCATGAAGCCTCCACCCCACCTCTCTCTGTCTCTCTCTGACAGACTCCCACTCTCATACATCATATCACACAGCTAATGACACAAGGGCCATCATTCACATCACATCGTTGGAGGGGGGGGCAGGGCACACAGAGGAGGGGGAAGCAATGAAAAGACATAAGGGCACGAGGAGGAGGTGGAAGAGGAGAACAGAGGAGGCAAAGGTGACTTGAGGGAAACAGAAGGCAGAAGACAGAATCAGAGAAAATGGAAATGTAAGTGTAGAAAGATAAAAGAGGGTCGTCTTGAGATCGCGCTAATCTTTTCTTTCCTCGTTTTAAGTGAACTGAATAAAAGATTATGCTGATGTCTGTTAATACAAAAGAAAATGTGGGCTTCACATGGCTGACTAAAAGGCCTCGGGTCAAATCTTTAACTAAACAGAGTGGGTGGGGGGTGGGGGGTGGGCGGGGTTTACAGGGTCCTACAGGGGTAATCTGACTTTTATTGAGGGGTTATGTCTTGCATTTAGGACTATGGTTGTCTACATTAGGCGTGGGAGATCAGCAGATGTTAAACCACACCAAAAGTTAACCAGCAACAACCACAGACAGCGTGCACACTCCTCATCCTGTGGACACACCTCAAACACTTATAAAGCTCGAACCAAACATATACATGGATATTCATGGCGTCATGCAATACAGTGTTTTTGATTAATTTTCTTTTTATTGATCTGCAAACATTGGATGGACTATGAACTATTTTCATTATCAGATTTACCTCTCTGATTGATAGTTTGCTTCATAAAATGATGCATTTGGCTTTTCCACTTTCTGAATTGACATCAGTTTGTACTAAACATTTCCAGGACAACAATATATTATTTCTTCAATTCAGATCAATTTCCAGGTGTTTCCATGACTAGAAAACTAGTTTCTAAATGTCCAGGTTTTGCAGGACCTTGTTAATTATTCACCAATCAACATTGCTCGATTAATTTTCCTACAACTAGATGTTTCAGTATTACAAAAAGCACGCAATGAATCCTAAAGGAACACTTATTTTCAACATAGATGCACCAAAAGAGAAAGAAAAGCCCTTATTTCCATCCAGAGGAATATCAGAGCACAGCTGACAGAAAAGCACAGCTGGAGCTCCTAAGCTTCTGGTGTCTTGCTCGGAGACCCTTCAGCAGGGTGCGTTCAGGCCTTTTAAGCCAGCTAAGTCTTTGGGTTGAGGAATGGCTTCCACAAACACTACAACAACAACCTGCCTTCAAAACTGTTGGACAACGACAGGGCAAAAGATCAACTGGAGGCAATCCAACAAAAGAAGCCTGACGTCAAACACGGCAACTATTTCTAAAGACAAAGATGATTTTAACACATCTGCCGCCCCTCCCTCTCCTTTCCCTTCATGCCTCCAGTCTACTGAATTGGCTCCTTGGGTGGTGTTAGAGTGAACTGCAGATATTCTTTCCCCTATTCATCTGTGGAAGTCTTTCCACTGCAGCATGATGCCCAGTGCTGGGTGGCAGCTGAACTAATGAGCTTTTAGCCCGGCTGGCACTGGGGAGGCAGACACAGAATAGCGCAGGCATATGTACACGCGCACACACACACTCAGAAGGACAAACCACACAAAAAAACACATCCTCTCAGAGACTGTCTGCCAAATACTTCACTTTAATCTTATCAAACCATCCCCATCAGGCAGCGTGCCCTTCGTGTTGTTTAGCCTGTCAGCATTTTCACTACAGGAAGCCGGTATGTGTTCGCCTGCTAAAGCCATTTAAGGATGAGGGTAGAAACTAAGGTCAGGTATGTGTGTGTGTGTGTGTGTGTGTGTGTGTGTGGGTAGGTGTGTTTATGCTCCTCAATCACTAGGGGGGAAAAAAACAAGTGTTTTGGCTGTACACAGATCATCCCTGATACGGCTACATACCTGTTTGTGCATCTCAATGTTGAGTCCATAGGACATCTCGTAGTACTGTAAAACAGAGGAGAAAACATCTTCATAAGTACATTGAATTAAATCAGTTGTTAGGGGCAAGATGTGATCCCAGATATATGCATCCTTCATGATTGTGTACAATAAAATAGGAATCACAAGTTACTTTTGCCTTTGTTCGACTGCTACGACATTTTCATCGGTCCCCTTAAAAGCACCCAAACAATAAAAAGAGACATGTTGAATTCTTGTTGCGAGCTGACATTACCCCGAAGAGTTTGACAACTTTATATTCTTTATGCAACCCGCAACCGTCAGACGATTGGCTACTGTTCTCATTTACTTCTACTGGGCACTGCCAGGATTTGAGCTATAAACACAGTCTACGGCTTCAAAAAAAAAACACCGGAGAAAAGCCAATACTATTATTGAAAACAAAATTATCTGCTGTCGATTGCCAAAAGTGTGCGAGCCCACCAACAGATACAAACTAAAGCCTAGTAGTTTTGTCTGTCTTGTTTATCAAACAAACAGAAAACAGCTTCCACTTATTATAGCTACTCCCACCACCTTCTGGTTCCTCACAGGGAAAATAATATTTAACAAAACGTCGCACTGCGTTTGGTTAAAGTCGTTCCTTTCATGTACACACTAGATAAGGCGCGCACATACGCCAACTAAGAGTGAGGTCTAAGTTACATCAGTCGTCAGATAAAGACTGTTTCTTTTTCCATGCACACAATGCAGCTTTTCCTGTATCAGAAGGGAGCTTTGTGTTAGGTCGTCTTTGCAGAGGCACAGATTTTCTTTGTCTCCGTTTGATCATCAGGGAGCTCTGAGCTGAATGTAACATGTTTTGATTGCACTATTTTAGCAGTTTTTACATGTCACCCCTTCGCAGATCTTTGATTAGCACCTGTCTCAACTCATGAGGAAGGTAAAAGTGCTCCACGCCTCGTTAGGGTTTAAATACGCAGTAGGGCTTCACACTGGTTTAATATTACTGGTTACAGACTTTGGGTTAGGCGCTGCACGATATGGTAAAATAATGATATCGCGATATGATTCACGATTAGTGTTAATGATACTTTCTGCATCACGATTTTCATTTTCAGTGAAAACAACGCTTTTAAAATTATGATGATGTGACTTTTGTTGGAGTCTGTACCAAACAAATGTGTTTTCTTACATCAGGAGAATCTCTGCAGCACTTCTCCATAATGCCTTTTCAGAAATATTTAGATTAATTGTGCAACTATTAACATTTTTAAATGTCTTGTTTCGTCTGACTAACAGTCCAAAACCTGAAGATATTCAGTTTATGGTCATAAAGGACAAGGAAAAGCTGCAAATTCACACATTTTTGAAGCTGGAACCAGTAAATATTTGGCATTTCTGATTTAAAAAAATATATAAATACCCAAAAAGACATAAAAGGTCTTAAAATAGTTGTTTTAACAAAAGGATATGAGATCACATCCTCCACATGTTTCAAAGCACGTTTGTGTGTTACACATGTAGTTCACTGCACTGAACATCAATTTGATTACTTAATGTGAGCGTTTCCATATATTTACTATATTATGATATCGATAGTGGAAACATATTCTCATTATATTGCACTATTGATTTCAACGACAACCCCCTGGCCCCAACAAGTCTATTATCTTTATGGTTGAAGAAACACACACACACACACACACACACACACACACACACACACACACACACACACACACACACACACACACCATCTGAATGTCTAAGAAACCCCTGGGTGTGTCAAAAAATGCTTGCATGACCCTGTGGTTCACATTGGGTGAGTTGAGGAGTAAAATAAAATACAGGAAACCCCCTGATTCATGCACAAAGCCAGCAGACTAGCCATTAACCCCCAGTGGGTCATGTTGGGTGTGTTAGGGAGGGGCAGTGGAGGGTCATAAAGAGGACCACAGAGCAATAGAGGGGAGTCGTCACACCCCACAATCAATAGCTGGACCTTTGACCCCTGCAAGAGTTTCAACGACGCTCCGCACTCCCCCCACCCTGCGCTCGTCTTATCCAATGAAAACACAGGTGTGAGTCAACAATACCAAGCAGGGGCAGACATGGGCTTTCACAAAAACACACCAGGGCTGCAACACCTGTGACTGTTCACCTGAGGCTAAAGAAAAGGGGGAGGATACAGGGGGGGGAGTAAATCAGATTCAAAGCTTTTTTTACGATGACAGCTCTTACCATGACATAGTGACGCTGCATCTCTGTCTTCTCATTGGCCAGTTTATCGTACTCCACTTTGAGACTTTAGAAGAAAGGGAAGAGAGAGAAATAAAATGAGGGTGAAAACATTCATAAAAGCGTGTATATTTATGTGTGTAACGTCGGGGTTAGACGTCGGTGCACAGAAAGCTACAAAAATGCAACAAAAAACAGAAGCCGCTTCCCCTTCCTTCCAGGAAGCCGACTCTGTGTAGTCATTACCTGTGGTACTGGGCCTGCAGGAACTGAAATTCGTCTTTGATCCTGTCGCAGGACTCCGCCACAGTGAACTTGAAACCAGGCTGCCCTGGTTGGTGAGGTGCCTGAGAAGTGCAAGATTGGAAGATACCACAGGTGTAAATAACGCCATCACAGTCCAGATAATAGTCTCACATCTCTCTCTCGCCTCCTCCTCCTCCTCTTTCTTGGTAAACTGTGTTTTCTCCCCCCTCTCTCTCCCTCTCTCTCTCCCTCTTTCTTGATGGTTTGTCCTCACATTTCCCCTGAGCCCTGACTGGCAGAGGAAAGAGCTGCTTTCACTCAACAACATGTGCAATGACAGAGGCGGGTCACTTCATCCATCCTCGAAGTAACGTTACATGGTAGACAGAGGAGGATGCGGGAGGGATATAAAAAAACAACACACACAAAGATGTGAGATATCCGAGTGCACAATTAACCTTTTAGCACAGTAAAAATGAAACTAGAACATTAAAGTCAGCTTGCAGAAGGAGGTGAAGATCTACTTTCCTTGAGTTCAACCAAAAAGCTCTGATCTTGTTGCCAATAAACACGGATCCCCCACCCCACCCCCCCACCCCCCAGCCCAGAGTGAAGCGCCTCAGCAGCACCGATGCAGACCATAAATAGTAAGGTGTGGATCAGCAGCTCCACTCTGACGAGCTAATTAGACTACTTTTTTGAAGGGCGGTGCAATTTACATCCATTTTTTTGTTGTACAAATAGTGACAAAACACAGCTACTTACCGGATGCCGGCCTTGTGGATACATGTCGCGTCCTTTTTTTTTTACACCAGGAGGGGTAATTCGGTGCGTTTTTTGCCTCTCTTTCGGTAATCTCCCGGTGAAGGTGCGGTAAATCACCGCCACCCCCTCCCCTGTACACGCAGGATGGCGGCGGACAAAGCCCCTGTTCCTCGGCACACTCAGACCCCTCCGACCACTGGATCTATCACCTCGTCGGCCCCCTTTTGTTTTTATTCCTTTGTACCTAAACACAACAGAAAAAACGGGGCACAGCTGAGGAGCTGGTTGTTGAATTGTTGTTGTTGCAGGAATTAAAGCTTTTATTAACTTAAACTGGACTTCTACTATCTGCACCACATCATAAAAACATAAATAAATCTGTATTATTTTTTAAATATTCCCCATTATTGTCTGCTTCGGGGTTATGCATGCACATGTTTGATCCTATTAACAAATAAATCCCCTTAAAGTTGATAGTTCACACACCCTCAACGACGTGATGGTTTTATTCTCATAAATATAACGAGTTGTCTCCCACAAAGGGAACACACACACACACACACACACACACACACACACACACACACACAGGGTTGTTTTGGTGGTCCGGGAAGATCAGAAAACAAGGAGCTGCTGCTTTCAAAGTCGGCTGCCATAAAGCCACCACCACCACCACCTCCTCCACCTCCTCCTCTTCCACCCGTCTTGTTAGCAGCTCTCTTCATGTCGCCCTTTTTTTTTTTTACCTTTCGTCTGGACTGATTCCTCCTCTCTGCACAGGTAAAAGAAAAATAGTATCCAAGACACACAAAAAAAAACAGCAAAAAAGCTTTAATATCCTTCACTTGTACGTCAACCGCAGAGTGATAAGGGCGGAAAATGTCCGTCGCCGTTTCTATTTCTCATACACTTCTTATTATTCTTGTTTTTTTGGGCCCCTTGAGAGTCCTTTAAAACAAAAACCCCGGAGAGCGTCTCTCCCTCCGTCCGGTCGGACGTTGGAAACCCTCTCGACTGAGCCCGAGTTGTTCGCCGCAGACAACTTCAAACCCCCAAAAAAAAAAAAAAAAAGCCTCCGTTAGATCCAGCAGTAGCGAACACGAATCCTCCGGTAAGTCCAAAGATTATTTATTTTTTTTTTTTACGGGTAGCAAACAACCCGGTTATTTCTTGTTTTGGGGGAAAAAAAAATGTCGGCCGTTGTGAAATTCACCACCCGCTCGCTGTTGGGTATACCCGGTTCCTCCGCCGCGCGCTTGTACCACACACAGACTGTGCACTGACACGAGGACCCGACTGCCGAGAGAGAGAGAGAGAGAGAGCGCGAGGGGCCGTGCACCAACCAATTGGGTTCTCAGAACGAGTTTAGCGGGCGGTGGCCAATCACAGCGCGGCATGCCCCACGTGGGGGTGTCCGGCGCACTCGCGTTCTGATTGGCGCCGCGCAGTGTGACGCGGCGGTGTTCGCCATTTTGGATCTGAAGTGACATTCGGTGCGTTCAACAGCTTGTTCAAAACAAAAGGCAATAATTTATATGTCCGCGCGTTTAAAGCCGGTTGTTCAGCGTTTTTATATTATGAGAATACACCTGCGAGTGTAATCGTTAAAAATATGTCTTTTCAAACACGATTAATACACAACAGCACTGAGTAGACACAAGTTATCCCTTTAATACAAGCGTCAGGATGCAAAACGGTGCTATGTGCTTAACACACAACCACACGGGCAAAACAGCGTGACCCTGAACAATAGCTTCAAGTTCTGAAAGCGGAAGATCACACTTTTTCTTGCTCTCGATTCAAAACGAGAGGGTCAGACGCCAAAAGAGAAAAAGAAACAAGTCCGGCCACAATGCCAAGAAAAATACGAGTTCATAGAAATTAATTCAAGGCCCGGAGTGCGCAGGAAATGTGAATACCGCTTAATCTACAGCAGAGTGTCCTTTGAGTGACTTGAATTCATCGACCTATTTCTAACGAGACCTCAAGCATCTACAAGCTTTCCTATCAGCAGCACTAGGTGGGCTACAACACGTCTGCAGCGGGAGGATATCAGCCTATCAAGTGCTGCTCACCATGCCCGGCCCCCACGTGGGGTCCTCTCCAACCACCACCCCCGCCTCCTTTTTTTTCTCTCGACCCCTTAGCCAATGGCGTCGCAGCTGTCTCCCTGCGCCGGCTTGTGATTGGCCGAGCCGCGGAGGAGCTGTCAGTCAGGAGCGGGAGTTGTCAATTAAACCCACGTTGGGTTACGGCGCTGACAAATGCCTGTGCTACTCTCCCTCCTGCCTGCGAGTAGTGCCTGGAATGGCTGCTTAATTAGCTTCGAATGGCTTTTCCTTTCAGCTCAAACAATCTGTCACTACCATGTGGTAAAAAGAGCCTTGCATAAAACAAAAGCAGGGAAAAAAAAAAAAAAAAAAAAAGCCAGTAGGGGCTAAATATCAGTTTGATTCCCCCCACTCCTCCTCCTCCTCCTCCTTCTCCTCCTTCTCCTCTTCCTCGCTCTTCAACCCCCTCCTCCATGAAAACATTTGCTGCAAAACAAAGCTTTTTTTTTACCTCCCTAAAACATTCACTCATCTGTTTCTGTCCTCGTTTTTCTTCTAAAATTGTATTTATTTGTTTCACATTAAATCTGAGGATGTGTATGTGTGGGGGTTTATTGTGTTCTTGATGCATTAAGGATGTTGTTAAATGTTGGGGAGAGTAACTTTAATTGTCTTAAAATAAAGAGACTAATGTGTTTTTTAAGTTTAAAATAAATGTATCCCGATCCTCAAGTAAAATGTATGACAGACGTCAACAGGGAAATAAAGAGGAAACTTCAAATGTAGAATAAATATTGACAGTAACAATATGTAGAGCAACTAAATCAGAGTATTAGAAAATGTAAATTATTTGTGAATATTACTTTGCCTAAACTAATAATAAAAAAAGCTTTCTTTCTTTCTTTATGTTTTTAACATGAGGCAGCAAAGTGTTCCTATAATAACAAATACACCTCAGACCTAAACTCTATGTTACATTATTTAAAGCATAACAAAGAGCCCAAAAGTCAAAAAGTACACCAAATTTTGAACATGACTGTAGCTAGCATGCTGCGAGCTTTAGCTGTTGCTAAGCAACAAATGTATCCCCTCCTGCAGATGCTCTGACATGAGTTTGGGATAATAACTCATGCATTGAGGGCATGTCAGTAAGCTACACACTCGCTGGGAGACTTTAAAGAAGGATTTTCACACAAAACTTCCCTTAATGATAAATTATCTTTGTAGTAAAAGTTATAATCACTGTAGTTTGAGTGGGAACAGACTGCGGACGGCAGGAGCAACAAACTTTTTTGTGCTTCTCATAATTCAAGGAACTTTTTTAGTTCTCTCAGCTGCTCTAACAAACCCTGATGTGCACTGCCCAGGAACGCCATGTTGTTGATATTCACTGTTAGAAATTCATTATTAAACCCATTTACAATTTACACTTCCTTTCATATTGTGGCATCAGTTGTAATTATGGTGTGAATTTGCAAAGGGAAAGATTTCATCATTGGTGAACCTATCATGACGTCACCCATTGGTGGATTTGCCTGGTCACACACAATCACATATTACAGATAAACAGTTCACTAAAATATGATTGTGAACCTACTTTAAGTGAGAAATAGGCAACGCAGTAACAGAATTTTGCTTCGTATTTGATCAGCTTTGCCTTGTTTGATCTGAGCTTCGTGCCCTGGACAGACTCACTGAGAGTAACCTGTCAATCATAAGGTAGATACGCAGCTTTATTCTCTATTTTACTCCATAATTCACTGAATGAAGATCATAATGTTTGGAAGAAGACTTGAAACTAGTGATTGAGAACATAAACTCGTTACTGAGCTCATAAATCAAGTGAGAAGTCGGCTCATTCTCTATTAAAGGGAACTGTATCATTTTTTTATTGCAGCCAGGGGAGCTCCCCCTGCTGGCCTTTGCAGCTGTCCGTTATATATACTGTCAATGGTTCAATGCTAACTTTCCCTCTTGAAAATGAAGTACTGTCAGATATCCAAGCCACCTTGAAAACTTGCAAACTGGCAACAAACATGTATAGGCATTTTGGGAGAATTCTTCCATCTCACCAGCAATGCACCTGCATATCTATGATGTTGTGGTTGTGATAATGTGTAAGCAGTATGCAGGTGCAGAATGGTACATAGAGACTTCATATATGAGGCTTTAGTAAGATGTAACCTTGCTCAAAAATGTAAAGGTTGCACATAAGTTAATGACATATGATAGGAGATATATTCCAATCTTTAATATGCTTTATATATTTTAATAAAAAATAATGAAACGTTCATTATTGAGTTATGGAAAAATGTGTTATCAACTGATCTTTTCTGTAGAGGGGAAAAAAAAAAGCCACTGAAATAATTTCCTCTGTCGCTCCGTTGTTTGACCTTTGACCTTGAATACGCATACTGAGAGTGTGTAAGGAAAACGGAGCAAGACACGAACAGATAGACGAATTCAGGTTACAGGAAAGAATCTAAGACACTCTTAAAAACAGTGGTTTGTTACACAGAACCAATCAGATCGATGAACCAGATAACGCAGTCTAAAACTGATGCTAGCAGCATGTATGCTAAAGTCTGCCTTAACTGCGAAATTATGGATGGATTTGTTTTTAACGGTCCTCAGGTGTTGGATAACGTCTTCAAATAACAACCAGAAGCTTTGTGCTGCTTTGAGTTGGCGAGTTTGAATATATTTGTAATAATCTGGTAGGTTTGGAGACTGACTCTGGTGTTTTGTGTGGCCTCGGCTGCGTTACCTTCTCTCTCTCTCTCTCTCTCTCTCTCTATTAAGTTGTATATTTGATCTGCTGCCGATGTGTTTTGACTCTTAAGCTGTTGTGGTCTGGGTAAACTAACGTGCTGTTTTAGGACAACTCAGTGAAAATGTGCAGTGTTATTTGGGTGGTCTGTGTGAAGTTTGCCTTGGCCCACCCTGGTTAATGGTCAGCGCCTACTGTATCACACACATATCGCACTTGGTGTACTGTCTGCTACATACTTCTTGTTGTGGTGGAAAAAGCTATAAATATTTTCTTTTTCAACCCGCTATGAATTATGTCTGTCTCCTGATGGAATATTTCAGGTTCTGTATATTATCTATTTATATAAAAGTGTGTTTGTCACATTCAGCGAGTCTAATACAGATATGGTGACAGAATGACAGAACAATAGAAGATGAGCTTATTTCTGAAATGTATAGGAACCATCACTGTCTTATTTTAGGTTGAATATGTACTGAAGCGTAACGTCTGCCTCGAGCAGCATTAACATCAAAGTTTACTTTCTTAAACCGACTTTCACCCAGTGACATAAATCATAAAGCGCAGGGAGCTGAAAGCTGTGCACTGTTGACTGCCATTACAAGTATAAAGCATTTCTTTGTGTCGTTTACAACACTCACACCCTGTGATGGATGTAGTTTTAATAAATAGCATGACTTATAGACAGCTACTGTAAATATGCAAAGTTACATCTAAGTGTTTTCAGCACCACAAACAGCCGACATCGAGAAGCTCTTAATGATGTGCGTGTGCATTCGCTCTTAAGTGCTGCTTTGGGAAGCGTGTGTGTAGAGATTTAAGAATGTTTGTAGAAAACACTCGTAGAAAACGCTCATATCTTCTGAGATAGATCGAGAAACAGGGCCCAGATTTTGTATCAGAGAGCAGCGGCACGGTGGATCAATGGTTCAGTTCACCTCACAGCCTGTGTGAAGTTTGGTTTGTGTGTATTTCCACTGCTTGCTCAAGTTTCCTTCCAGTTTCACAGACATGCCAACCAGGTGTATTAGAGAGTAATAGGTATGAACATTGAGGTGTCTCTATCTGAACATGGCGACCGGCTCTCTACACGCTGTATTTTGGTGAATAAACTACAGTTTTTTTGGACAGTTTTCCTGACTAAAGTGCCAAAGAAGAGTGTCAATGCTAAAAACTTCTTCCTGCGTCCCCCCTCCACCTCAAATATGGGATGTTGCCGGGTATAAAGAGGGAGCAATTGTAAGTATTTTATGATCACTTGTAAGCCACTTGCCAAGACAACCTACTCATTTTCATGCCACTATGTTTGCAAATGACATTGAGATAGTTTTTGGAAGTATGTTCATGTTTAGAAAGTTCAAGTTTCTCAAACTCACACCTTTTCATCTAGACTTTTCCCTCAAGCAAAATCAATAAAATTATACACATTTATCTTGTCGTTATAATGCAAAGGAGTAAAAAGCATATTAGGATATTC